ATGCGCAGGAAGGCGCGCTTGAACTCCTTGCTGGAGCACGGGTAGATGATGGGGTTGAGGCAGCTGTTGAAGTAGCCCAGCCAGAACACCACCTTGAACACGGTGTCGGGGGGCTTCAGGGTGGAGAACAGGGAGCCTGCAGGGGGAGGGGGGGGGCACGGGCAGAAAGACAGACAGCGGTTTGTGAGTCGTCAGGCCCTCCAGGGGCTGCACCCGAGCAGCACCCGCCCGCCCGCAGGATCCTCCCTGGGTCTGGAATGCTCGCCTTTCTGTCTCAAGAGGAATGAATGCTACATTCACTTTCAGGGCCAATATCGAAAACTCCGCCTTCGCCCACGAAAGCTCTCCTGCTCTAGCTGAACAACATCTAAGCTCCTACAGCTCTAGATTTCCGAGGCAGCGCTCACCAGTTTCTACTAAAATGGTACTAGTCACCCACAACTGCACGCTTCTCTCGGGTCAGAGGCACTCTGCTGGGCACTTTTACTTGTATTGTTTTATCCATCACAAAACACCATGAAGTAGACGCTCATTTACTTCCATGGCAAATATGAGATACATTACAGACTTTCCTGAGAAAGGTAAAACTTTAAAGGCAAAAGAAGACAATGAAAAGGAAGATCTTTTTGATCTAGGAATGAAGAAAAATGACCCAACTCCTCAAAAAGATAAACTACAAGAAAAGGGTGGGAGAAGATATTTACAATGTCTAATAAGACAGGTAAATATTATATTCCCAGTAGAAACATGGACAAAGGAAATGAACAGGAAATGTACAAAACAGGAAACCTGAGGGTTAATGAGCACATGACAAGAAGCTCAAAATATTAGGTAGCCAAATAGGTTACAATGAAAACCATTAAGAAATAAAATCTGTTAGGCTGGCAAAAATTAGGAAGATGGACGACACCATGCATAGGGAGAGCTGTGGGGACTTGGGGAGCCTTCTGCATGGCTGGTGGGGGCAGAGGCTGTGAAGACTAGACAAGACTCTAACACCATGTGGTTCAATTAAGTCTAACACACCTTCTAATCTAGCAGCTCTGCTCTAGGGCACAGATCTCAAAGAATTTTTACATACGTCCATTAGGGACATGTATGAACATGCTCAGGGCAGTGCTGTTTGTGGTGACAGGGAATTGGGGAAAACCTGGGTGTCCCTCACAAGGAATGGAATGGCAGAGTTCCATATAATGACCATCAGGAGATGCACAGCATGGAGATTGTGTAGCAAGTAGAGGCCCCGGCTGACATGCCCATATCATAATATGGAAAGTCTTAAGTACATTGTTCTTTTTGGAAAAAAAAGTAGGACACAATGAGATTTATAACAATACTATTTAGGGAACATGCCAGACAACCACACACATTTTGCAAAATTATGTTCAAATTAAAAAAATACATATTAAATACAAATGAATGACTTAAGGTGGAGGCAGAGGGAAACGGGAATGAGCAATGGGAATAAAAGGAAGTAAGTCAATAAAATAAGAAGGATGCCCAACACAGACCTATGATGATGAGATGGTATGAATCCCTTTGAACGTGAGGTCCCAAACATTTTATGTTTATATTAAGTTAAAAACAATTTCCATTTGAAACGCAAGGCAACTGAGACTTGGAGAGGTTAAGTGATTTGCTCCAGGTCACACAGCATGTTTGTAATATAGCTGGAATTTTAAACTAAATTCTGTTAGAATACAAAATACGTTGTGTGTGTGTGTGTGTGTGCTTTTTAAAAAGTGCTACTAATAATACTTTCTATGGAAAATGAGAAAATATAAGAAAGCAAAAAGAAAAAATATTTTAAAAGTATATATAACCTCTCAATGCTGAGAAATCACATTTTGGTGCATGCACTTTCAGAATTTTTATATGTAAACTAGAGGCCCAGTGCATGAAAATTTGTGCACAGAGCGGGGTGGGGGTGGGGGTGGGTCCCTCAGTCTGGCCTGTACCCTCTTGCAGTCCAGTCTGGCTTCCCTCTGTGGGAGGCAACCGGGCAGGCAGATCAGGGGATGGCACCAGCTGGTCCCCCCATCGCCCCTCCGCTGCCCCCACTGGTTGCTGCCACCCCCCCATCACCATCCCCTCCCTCTGCCCGCTGGCATGTGCCTTGACTGGCCTGGCACTGCCTGCTCACTGGTCCTGCCCCCTCGCTGACTGGTCAGTCAGCCGTTCGGTCGATTTGCATATTACGCATTTATTCTATAGGATATTTTTTTTTAAATGGGATTATATTTTACAGGATATGTTGTAACTTCAATCTGTGTTTCTAACCATGCCAATCTGCCTTTTATACAGTGACTTTTGTATTCCTGTCTTATCTCCTCTATTAGACTGTGAGCTTCCCAAGGGCCTGGTCGTCAGGATCCCCTGTGAATCCATTTGTTGAACAGAGAGCATGAACCTCTAGAATATATGGATGCGAGTGGCTTCAGCAGTCATGTCCAAACTCCTTGTTTTACAGATGGGACACCAAAACCCAAAGGGTGGCTGAAGAGTCCACAGGTAGGTGGTGGCAAAAATGCCACAAAGATTCCTATCTTTGATTCTGGATTGCACTTGAGTCCTCCCCCTTTACTCCCTCGCATCACTTCACCTTCTTATTATTTGAGGTTTAACCTGTTGTCACAGGGAGCCTTCTACTTTTCTGCTTAGTAACCCAGGGATGGTGGCTGGGGGGAGATGGCTGGGCTCCTGGTGCAGGGCTTAGTCAGAGAGGGTTCCACTTGGGAAGAGAGCTATCCATCCCCGATGCTAACTAAGTACACTCACCTCTTTTCTCAACTCAGGGGAGCTGTGGGAGCGGACTACATTCTGGGTTAGCTTTCGGGGAGGTAGATAAGGTCTACTTTGTGAAAAGGCTTGTACCAGTAGGTTTGCATCTCACCACCCCAGATACTTCTTTGGATTGAGACACTGCACAGAGGCCCCAGCTGAAATGCAGATACGGCTATTCTTCTCCCTCAGCAGATTTAGGCAGGTCCTCATTGGATGGGGACAGGGTTTGGGAACTCAAAGATCTGGTTTTGAACCCCACCTTTTTGTGTGTTGGCTGTTTGACTTTAGAAAAGTGATTTGGCCCTCTCAGACTCAATTTTCTCATCCATAAAATGGGGACAAATAATCTGTTTCATAGGGTAGTTTCAATAGATGAAAACATCCATGTAAAATTCTTGACAGAGGGCCTGGCATCTTGAAAATAATACTAAATAAATGGTGGCCATTTTCCATATATACTTTATATCCTGGCCTCGTCATCACCCTCCTCCAGGAATTCTGCTCCTCACCTATCTCAGACTGACTTCTTTATTCTCTGTCCCACAGAACATCGACAACCAGATCTTATTCTCTCTCTTTTTTAATTTTTTTATTTGAGTCCTAAGTGTTGTTAGCAATCCCAGGGCTGGCCGAGTCCTTGCTCATCACCAGACATTAAATTCCTGCCGGGCAGGAACCACATCTTTATTTCCTTTTTCCCTCTCTCCAGATTTTTATTCCAAAGATACATAAAGGGATGAATAGGTAGAGGACAGAGAGTTTTTAGGGCCACAAAGCTACTCCATATGACACTATAATGGTGGATAAATGTCATTGTACATTTGTCCAAACCCATTCAATGTACAACAGCCAGAGTGGACCCTAATGTAAAGTATGGACTTTGGGTGACAGTGAGGTGTCCATGGAGGCTCATCAACTGTAACACACGAACCACTCGAGTGAGGGATGTTGATAATGGGGGAGGCTGTACACATGTGGCTGCGGGGAGTATATGGGAAGTCTCTGTACCTTTTTGTACATTGGGTGTGAACCTCAAATTGCTTCTAAAAATAAAGCCTATTAAGAGAACCTCACTTAACTTAAATATGCAATACATGCTGAATTTTAAAAGATTACACATTGCAAAGACACTTTAGAATATAGAGTTCAAATAGAGGGGACCAGCGTTAATAGTTTTGCTTTTATCCTCTTAGGATATTTTTAAAAATGGAGTCATACACATACTTTCACCCAAATTGCTTTCTTTGCTTTGCATATATATAAGGCATTTTCCCAAGTCAGGACATAATCGTGCTACACCACTCCTCCACCCCCTACCTCCTGTTGAATTACACCCTACTGTCTGGATACACAGTAGTTTTCCTAACCCTTTCCTAATGATAGCCAAATAGGCGACTTCTAATTTTTAGCTGTTACAAACTGCAGTCACAAAAAGCCCCTTGCATTTGATTTCTGCAGGTTTGAGTGTTTCTGTAGAATGAATTCCTATCAGAGGAATCACCGGGCCAGTTCCACATTCAAGCAAAAGCACCGACAGCCAGCAGACTGCCTTCTGAACTGGTGGGTGGCAGCCGTTCACTCACACACTGGCTGTGTATGAGTACCAGGGGCCTGCCACCCGAGTCACCTCTGCACTAACACAGCAAATGATTATTATTTTTGTAAACCACTGTGGTGGAAACCTGATTCCAGGAAGCCTGTGTCTGAAACCTCTGTTTGGTGACTCGATGTATCATTTTGGGTAAGCTGCTTTCCCTTTCCACGCCTCAGTTTCCCTCCTTTGGGTGAGTTGT